TCTCTTCAACAATGGTGGAAAAGTCTCTTGCCCTATCTCTCTTTCTTTCTTTCTTTCTTTCTTTCTCTTTCACGTGAAACTGACTTTTTATGTAACTCGTCTCCCGCTCTCTCATAATTGTGGGTCATTTCCCTTAATTCTCTATATTTTCTTAATTCCAATAGTAATAATAATCCTAATGATAATAATGTTAATAATTATAATTATAATAACATTAATAATTATAATAATGAAAATAATATTAATAATAATACTAATAATATTAGTATTAATAAAATGTATCATTATTCATATCATCATCATTACTATGTTGTCCTAAGGCTTAATTTAATTCATTCCACTAACTCTCACACCCACTCTAACACACATATCCTTAACCGAGATAATGCCGAAATAATCACACACAATAAATCATAAAACGACTAAATAATTAAATGGGGTGTTACATATTTTGCCTTTGAACTTGTTGGAACTACCATTATTCTTCCATGACTGAGCATGTAGTGCTTATACCGAGTGTTGAACTCATTTCCTTTCGACAATCCTAATCTCATGTGCCTCCAATGAACCAACCAAATCTTCCAGTTTTAGGGTTTCAAGATTGTTGGATTCTTGAATAGCTACGATAACGTGATCAAAGTGAGAGGTCAACATACACATTACCTTCTCAACTATCATTTTATCAATTAGGGTTTCACCACAAGCCTTAATGAGATGGACGAGTTTATGCACCTTCGACACATAGCCTGCAATGTGTCTTCTCCCATCGACAATAATTCATATTATCGTCGCAAAGCGTACAACTTGACAACCTTGAATTTCTTGCCTCCTTCATAGTACTTGACAAGAATATTCCGTGTCTCCTTCGCCGATTCATAATGAGCAATTCTATCAAAATTAGCTGCATCAATCGCCGATTGGATGTAAAACGCCGCCTTGCAATCCTTCTTTTTGGTATCCTTATTAGCGGTTCTCTATGCGCCGGTTGCATTTTCACCAAGCGCAGGCACGCCATTAGTAACCATTTATAGGGTTTCATGAAAGCTAAATAGAGATTGCATTTGTCTTCTCCATCGAAACCAATTCTTGCCATCAAGAGTTGGAAGGGAGTTTGGTAGATTTCTGTTACCATTCATCTTTGCAGTGATTGATCAACAACAACCCACGATCTCGAAAACACGATCTCTGACGTGTGATTCTTGAAAACACGATAAAAAATCTAACCAGAACTCTAGACACCAATTTGTTAGTGCATGATGCACTTTTAATGATGAAGAAAGAGAGAGAATAAAATAATAAAGATTGTATTATTAAATAGAATGATAATAAAACTGAACTACAAACTATGTATTTATATACAACTAACTTGTCTACTAAATAAAATAACAAATTAAGTAAAAGATCCTAAACTCTAATTAATTTTAGACTTGAACTACATAACTAAACTTAAATTATATCTAATATCTCAACACTTTTTAAAAATATCGATATAACTTTCTTTCCATGCAAGTATTTTTCCGGGGAAAAAATCAAAATGCCTCCGTAGAAAAAACATGAGGGAATTACTTTGGTCAAATAAAAATCTTTGAAGATAGAAGATAATAATCTCTCTGCACTCACTACTCTGATTCACTAACCATGTCAGGCATCCAACTCATTGCGACAACAACAATTCAAGATAAAAATATAACGGAGAGACGAAAGTGAAAGATGCTTATAATGATACATTGTTATCATATGAGCATATCCTAATAAACAAGTTCAGTTCAGACCAAGAAAATTTTAAATAGCAACGCATTAAACATAAATGCAGCTACATTATTAAAACAAGAAATCAACTTAAACATCACAATAATTAATTAAAAATTATCACTCATAATTTTGTAATAGAACATTACTCCCTGTGATAATAGAAGATTACTCCATTTGATTGTGTGCCTCTTCATGATCTTAGTTGAATTTTCTTACAAACTTTCTCTTCCTCACATAAGACACACACATTTTCTTCAAGCGCACACAACATAACATTCCAACCAGACACAACCAAGCACAAAACACATTTTCTCAAAGCTTAGAATTGGTAACAACAAACTCAGTGTCATTTCCCAAAGCTTCCAAAATCTCATAAGAAAAACAAACTTCAATATCAATACTACCTTCTTCAGCTCCAGGAAACACAGTAATCTTCCCTTTACTCTTATTCGCACCCCCGCTTCTAACTGCCACAGGCTTCCCCCAACCAAAATCATTACGATAAACATCAAACATTGGAGAACTACTTGTTGCCAATGAATAACCATTTGCCAAACCACTAACCTCTAACAACCTCGGCACTCTCAACCAACACTCATAATCGTTCCTTATTTTCTCATCCGAATGTAACAGAATCATCTTGTTCATCTCCAAACCAACTTTTCCTATTCCACTCTCTAAAATTTCCTTGGCTTTCATCGTCACACCACCAAATACAATAGCATTTCCAAAATAATTCTCATCAAGTGGCGGAATCATCCTAGATCTGGCATCTATAATTAACAGATAGCGGAAAACTTCTTGTGGATCAGGTTGTACGCAACGGACAACGCAACGCCAAATGTGAGATAGTAGCGCTTGAAGCGAAGATATTTCAGTTACTACCTCAGTTTGGGTTATGGCTTCTGAGTTTGCTTTTGATTTCAGTTCTGCGATTTTCTCCTTGGTGAAATGAAAGACTCTTTCCGGCAACTTTTTGGAAGTGCTTTTGTTTTGTGATTCTGTTATAGTGAAAGGGAAGCGTATCGGAAGTTCAATGTCTTTTGGAAACCAGCGTTGAAGTGAAGGTAGTTTGGTTATTGTTTGAGAACCTTTTGAGATTTGTGACCAAGAGTTGACGAAATGCCCCAACGACTTGCCGTCGGAAACAGCGTGGTTGACAGTGAAGGCGATGAAGATTCCGTTACTTAACTCAGTTACTTGGACGGCTAGAATTGGCTGTGAAGTGGCTTCGTAGTTTTTAACGCCGTTTTGTGGGGAAAAAGAGTGAACAATGGGAGGTATGTAGTTAGGTTGAAGTATGTCGGAAACGGTTGTGTTTTCTGCTTTGGCGTGAACGAAGAGAACTCCAACGTTGTTGCAAATGAGGGAGCATGAAGCGTTGTTGTTGTGTTGCGTGATTATGAAACGGCCTGTTAAGGGAGGGTAGAAGGAGAGCGTGGTTGAAAGAGTTCGTTTCAAATGATTGATTTGGTTGGATGTGAGAGTGGGTTGGTGAAAAAGAAGACCTTGTTGGGGATTTTCAAGTTGGAGGAACTGAAGATCCCATGGTGTTAATTAGATTATCCGAGTTGAGTTGCCATTGTTGTGACTCGGTGCTTGGATTGTTGTTGTGGATATTACTTTCACGGAACCCATTAAATTAAACGAAGAACCTTCCTTCTGTGGATTATTTGCTGCAGTCAGTGGTCCCTTCCATTCTGGGATACTAAGAGTACCTACAAGGGAGGATTTTTCAATGTAAAAAACTTTTTTTATTATTATGTAGCCGTGGGAGTTGGTCAGACTGGTGTACCGTGAGAATGCAGTGCAATCAAAAAACCGATTCATAAAAACTAAATTTAAAAATATGATGTATCGATTTCAAAAGTACATATTATTTGGTTTAAAAACTAGTTCAAATTTATTTTACTAAAACCATTAAAAACCGTGTCCACTTTTTAAAACCATGATTAATCTATTTTTCAAACTCTTTGTCTTTTTTTTTATTTCATGATCATAAATGACAATTAAGATAATGTATATATAATAAATAAAACATATATATATATATATATATATATATATATATATATATATATATATATATATATATATATATATATATATATATATATATATATATATATATATATATATATATATATATATATATATATATGGATGTGCAAAATAGCCAATAACCATAAACCAAATTTCTATCCTAATTAATTCAAAATTTAAAATTCAGTCCAAATTTATATTTTAAATTTGGTGGTCCATTTATCAAATTAAAAAAAAACAGTAACCATTTGTTTCAAACCGGATTGAGATTCGATAATCATTTTTCAATAAGCTTCAAAAACAAAAGTAGAATAATTTGGAAAAATCAAGATCAACACTCATAATTTGCAATAAAATTGATTTGCTTTAAAGTAGAATAAGTTTAAGATAGATAGTTTCTAATAAGTTTAAAGTAGAATAAGTTTCACGATTAATTGATTTATATCAATTCAACGTACTTCTCGATTAATTGATTTAATTCACGATGAAAATGAATTAGTGTAATTCCAGTTTTACATTGAGTAGTTTAAAGTTTAAGATATATGGAGTGTTGATTTAATTCAATGTAAAACTGAAATAAAATTGATTAATTGATTTCTATCAATTAGTTTGCAATAAGTTTAAAGTAGAATAAATTTTAGGTGGTTTATCAATTATTTGATAGTTTGCAATAAAATTTATTTTTTTAAAAAAATTGGTTTTAAAACTGATTTTTTTAAAGAAAATAAAAAATTGGCTTTGAGAGAAATCGATTTAAAACTGATTTTTAAAAAAACTGTTTTTTTTTAAAACCGGTTTGAAACCGAACCAATCCATTTGTAAAACGGTTTTAAAAAAATAAACCAGTTTTATATAAATGGTTTTAAGATCCAAACCAAACCATATATGTGGTTTGGTTTGGTTTGGTTTATAATTCATGGACACCCCTAAGTGCAACGACACTTTCTCATAAAATATTAATATAATTTAATGTTGCAACGGTTATTTTTTTTCTTTTCTTTTAACACTTTTAGTTTATTATAAATACACCCAATTTGAAAAAATTTACACACAAACTTTCTATCTTACTTTTATTTTCTCTCTCAAAATTTCATCACTTTACTTTTAAAATTTTAAAATTTTTCTCTTAAAATTTATTCACATTATCATTCATTTTACCCAAATTTTCATCTTTTTTACTTCAAAATTAATATTGTTTAGGCCAAATGGATCCTAATCAATTTAATTATCAACAATCTATGTTCAATTTCATGCAAAATTATCAAAATCCTAATCCTCAAAATCCTCAATTCTCATCGATGCCAACAAACTCCGCCGCATTTTTTTCCGACACCAACCAGAAACACTCTGCCGCATTTTTTCCGTCACCAAACTCCGCCCTATGTTCAACAGTCTATGGAATTTTTTCGTCATGAAGCAGAAACACAACCACTGATTGTGTTTATGTCCGAAAGTCAAGTTCCACCATTTTCAGTTCAAGTCGGTATTGAAAAAGAAGAAAGTTGTCCCATTAAAAAAAATCCCGAGAGGTATTTTCAAGGGATGAAGATATACTTCTTATCCAATCATGGCTGAATGTTTCAAAAGATCCAATTGTGGGCGTTGATCAAAAAGCTGAGAGTTTTTGGTTAAGAATCGCTAACAATTATAATGAGTATCGTGGGAAGTCGCGTGAAAAGCTACGTGGGCAATTAAAATCTCGATGGCGTCGAATATATGGTTTGGTTCAAAAATTTGTTGGGTGTTACAAACAAGCTGTTAATGGAAAGGAAAGTGGGACATTGGAGAAAGATATCTTAGCCGCTGCATATGCTTTTTTTACTCAGGATGAAGGTACACCATTCAATCTTGAGTATGCATGGCAATTGTTAAAGGATGAACTTAAATGGATGGGAGCATCAACATAAAATTCTTCAAAAAGAACAAAGAATTCTGCTAGTGGGGCACACTCATCATCGTCTGACCTCGCGACACCTTCAAGTTATGAGTTTAACTCATCATCACCAATAGAGCGTCCAATGGGACAACAAGCAGCAAAAAGAAAGAGTAAGGCAAAGGAAAAAGCATCTGAATCACCTTCTAATGTTCCATTGATTGTATGCACTGGGAATGGAAAAATTGTCTTGTTGCATGGAAAGGATAATTCTTTCGAGGTGACCATGGTAAGCCCACAATCATGCTTGAAGCAGTGGCATCACAAGACTTATGGATTTGACATGCATTTTTTAGTATTGCAGGTTTAAACAATGACATTAATGTGTTAAACCAATCCAATGTGTTTAACGATATTTTGGAAGGACATGCTCCCACTGTGAACTACACAATCAATGGAACATCATATAATATGGGGTATTATTTAGCGGATGGTATATATCCTGAGTGGGCTACATTTGTCAAGACCATTTCAATGCCGCAGGGAGAAAAGAGAAAACTATTTGCTCAACATCAAGAATCAGCTAGAAAGGATGTGGAGCGGACATTTGGAGTGCTCCAATCTCGATTTGCAATTATACGTGGCCCAGCGCGTGGCTGGCATATGGAAACCCTCAAGCATACCATATATGCTTGCATCATTTTGCACAACATGATTGTTGAAGACGAACGACACACATATGAAGGTGATTTTGATTACTCTTATGATAATGTAGATGACATGTACTCAACAACTGAAATATTTAACGGTCCTCATCTGAATCTTGCAACAAGACTACAAAGAAGAGCAAGTCTTCGTGAAAAACAAGTTCATCGCCAACTTCAAGGAGATCTAGTCGAACATATTTGGGAACGTTTTGGACAGAGGATGATGAAAATTAAATTTGAGTAATTTTGTTATGTTATTTTTTTTATTGTTTTTAATTATGTCATGTATTTGAGATTAATTTTAATTTTAATTTTAAATTTTATGTTTAGTTTTAATTTTATGTATTTTATTAATTTAAATTTAAATAATTTAAATAATTACTTTAAATCAAATAAACTTTAATAGAAATAAAATAATAATATATAAAGTAAAGATGTGGGATCTAATATGGGTTCTTTAGAGTTGCACCATTGGAGTGAAAATTGAGCGAGTTGTTTCAAGATGATGTGGCTTAATGGGTCCTACAAAAAACTCAAAAGTGGGTTGCACCATTGGAGATGCTCTAACTAAAGTAAGCAGAGCATCTTTTTCTATCCTTTCCAAAATCCATTCGTTCATATATAATGACGTCATATTATTTGGCACCCTTATCGTTAACTATATTAATTTTATTTTTTAGGTTTACATTTTATTTGTTTATTTTTGCTTTCCTTTGTTAAGCATAAAAATAGTAATGACATTTCAAGTGTTCTAGTTGTTTATTTTGCCTGATTGAAAGAGCGGGAATTGGATTGGATCGGGTGATTACTCGAATTCATGAAAGAGGCTCGTCGAAGATAACAACTTCATGAAAGTAAAACGTATCGTGATATTTTTAGTCGACTGTTTGTAGGTAGTTACTTCAAATTAGTATATAATAGGGACACTTGTTTATGTTATAAGGGTCCGCAATTGTACCCAAATTTTTATATACTCAAAATATCTGCGTATTTGAGAAACGAGTGAGAAAAAGTATGTATGTGTTCCACATTTATGAAATTCAAGTATTTTACATTCAAGTCTTTATGCATTTTTAGATACATTTCAATTCACATTTACATTCTTATCTTTTTACTTTCAGATAACATTTCGATTTCAGTTACTGTTGTTTTCAAAACCTTTTGCATTCTAAGTTTAGTCAAGTATCAATCATCATCTTTCAAACATTGCATTTCGATTTCAATTAATATGATGTTCAAAGGTTATAATTCACACAAAACATTCCAGGATATTTTCGAGTATAATCTCTTAAGTATTAATAGAAACTTGTTTTGTTTACAAATCTCCAAGTAAACATCCTCCCATCCCATTTATGATCAATAACACTTTTTCTTTTCTTTTTTTTTCCACACAGAATCAGCAAGTTCTGCACCTCTCACGTTCACCAAGATCTGCATAGATTCTTGTTCCCCACTATCTTCAACATCCACTGCATTGCACCAACTCATTAGAACACTAAGATTACATATTATCTCATCTTCTTTCAAGATTAACCAAAACTCACGATGACACCTCATTTCCCTCTAATCTCTCTCTCTCTCTCTCTCTCTCTCTCTCTCTCTCTCTCTCTCTCTCTCTCTCTCTCTCTCTCTCTCTCTCTCTCTTCATTTCATCCAACCGCGTTTTCTCTCACCCTACTCTTCAACTTCTTGCATATACCAAGATTTCTTCAAACCCTTTCAAAAATCTCTACAAAATCATTCTTACATCTTCAGCCATCTTCATCATATTCATCCACCTCCACCTTGTTCTTTCTAGAAAACCAAGCAGTCATCTCATCCACCTTCATACAATGAACGCATCACATCTTCATCATAATTCTCAAAAAATTGAGAATACCCAGAAAATCGTTCACACACCTTCAACAACTTTCATCATATTCATCCAACTTAATCATATTTTCCAAAAAAACACATAACCAACCTCATTTTCTTTCAACCTTTTCTCCAGATTTTGTCGAACCCTAACTTTTCTCTATCTTCCTCATAACCGATCAACACCAAGATCAAAACCACCAACCCATAATCAACCAACCTCAACTAACAAATGGTCGTCAAAATGACCAAAATTGAGATAGAGGTATAGAGAGAGTAAGAGCTTGGCATAGTTGTTAAAAATTAATAATAATTTTAGTTGACTATTAGAATAAATAGTATTTTGTTTAAACTAATTAAATAAAATATTAAAATGATAGAATTGGGTTAATAGGGAGAATTTGGAGAAATAGAGGGGAGCAGGAAGTTTGGGAGTTGAGGCAATAGTTTGAATTAAGAAAACTGAGGGTTAATGAGGTAATTGAGAAGAAGTGTGTAGAAAACCCTAAGATATATAAGAGAGTTTGGAGAGTTTTACGTAAAAATAGAATTTTATGGTGAGAAGAGGCAAAGGATAGGGCTAAAGGAAGACTCCATTGTTAGAGCTTGAAGTTGCATCTTGCTGGAAAATCCAAAGTATGGGGGAGAAAAGAGTTATCAATCAGGTGTACTGCATGATGGCATAGAGATGAGAAGTTCTTAATCTCATTATAGTTCTTAGGTTTTCCTTTTGATGAATTGTTTATGATGAAATTCTGGAAATTGTTGATGGATCTTATGTTTGTATGTGTTGCTATGAATGAATCCATGTCTGAACTCTCATGAATATGTGTGAATGAGGTTTTCCATTGATGAAGGTGTGAAAGTTTGAGTGTTATTGATGAATCGATAAAATTTGCTGCTAAATTTGTTAATGAAATTTCCATGGATTATGATGACATAAGGGATGTATATGTTGATGATTATGATGATATGTTTGACTGTTAATTCATGTTTTTGGGTTTCCTAAATTTGTATGAATTAATTGGATCGATGACTGGAGATTAAGAGATGAAGAGAATATTGATCGTATGCAGAAAATTAGGCTTTTAGGCAGTTTTCACCAAGGTCAATCGATTGGTTCTAGGGGACATTGATTGTTCCATTCAAAATTTTGGAAAAAACAACAGAACAATTCATTGGTTGTGGAGTGTAATCGATTTGCCCAATCCAAATTGTGAAAAACATGTTGGCAGCGAGTTTGGGACAATCATTGGTCCCTTGGAGCAATCGATTGGTCCTTGTTTTGGATGGTTGACCCATTTTTTGATTTTGGTCGTAACTTCTATTTCTTAAGTCCAAATGAGACGTCGTTCGAAGAGTTGGAAATAAACGTGCAGAGTACCTCATGGTGGTGCCTTATGAATTATTTGATTTATAATCATGTGTCTACTATAGCAATGTTTATGATGAGTTGTATGATCAGTTAGCGAACTGATGTGTGTTATCCAATGATGTATTATTGTTCTAGTGAATTAACATGAATAAAAGCCTATAAATTTGAATTTGTTGAGCTGCTTCTAGTTTGTTATTGTTGTGTTTATTGATGTCGTAACATTGATTAATTATTGCATATGATGAACGGTGTGGTGCATAAATGTTGAAAATATCAAAAAGTTATATGTTGAAGGTAGTTAATTCCCCACAGTATAATTTTTACGGTAATGACTTTGGTTGGGGTAAACCTATAGTAATTAGGAGAGAGGCTATAATTAGAAACAATATTGGGAATATTATTGTGTTGGATGGGGCAGAAGAAGGTAGTATTGGTGTTGAACTTTATCTTCCTTATCATATCTTTGGAGGCTATGGAAAATGAGATGCATGCATTACCATATAATAGTTAATTAAGTAGTGTGGTATATTCTCTGCTTATGTGAACAATGGTTATATGGTTTGTTTCCCTAGTTTAGTGCTTTTGATTACTATATTTTGTGTATTTTTAAAATTTTTCTTTTTTGAAGTGGGTTCAGGAATAGAGTGAGTCCACATGATCAATATAATTTAAGGCCGAAGATCACATAAGGTGATACTAGTCGAAGGTGGCAAGGTCGAAGGATGTGGTGAGGACCTTAAGGACTTAGTGAAATTGAATACTATGTTATGTTGGTTAAGGTTAGGGTTCATCATTACAATGGAAGTAATGTCGACTCAGTCACCACATGTGGAGTTAATCACTATAATAGAAACAATGTTGATTTGGATGCTACATGTGGAGTTCATCACTACAATGGATATTCGATGGAGCATATTATCTTAACATGGTCGACGTCGAAGGCATCTACAAGGATAGTCACTCCTTGGCACCTAGAAGGACAATTGTGAATTTCAAATAATATCACAAGGCAGGAACAACATTAGCATTGACGGTTATTTAGAGGAACGTGGGAGCATGTCGAGGGAAATCACTACATGGATTTGGGACGTGTTACAATGGGAGTAGCCTACCATTCATAGACAGTTTTCATAGAGTAGTATATAAGGACACTTAGGTTCATTTTGTAAAAGGTCCGCAATTATACACACATTTCTGTAAACTCAAAGTACATGCGTCTTGAGAAACGAATGAAGGAAAGATGTACAAATGCGTTCCACCATTTTATACATTTCCAGCAATTTTACTTTAAATCTTTTATGCATTAAAGTCTTTTTGATTTCCTTTACTTTTCCAGCCAATTTACATTACTTTCACTTTAATTTCAACCCTTTTCTTTTTCTACATTATGTCTTTCGATTTCAAAGCCTTTTCTTTACTTTACTTGCATTTTAACTCCAGTCCCTTCAGTCTTTTAACATCTTTCTTATGTACAGGTAATCACGACGAATATTTTTTCAAAGAGTTACTTTGACTTTGACAATGTTATGATTTTCACAAGTAATAAACACACAAATATGTTCGGGAAATTTTCGAATTTGATCCTTTAAATATTAATATAAACTTGTATTTGTTTACCAGATTTCACAGTAAACATAGGTATAGTAAAAAGTATTAATATACATAACTTTTAAAAAAAGTATCAAATTAATTGGCGCGTCCTCCTAATTTTTACAAGGCAAGCCGATTGCATCAGAAACACTGTGATTTTGTAGTTTTATTTATTTTCTACAGTTTTTTTTTCGGATTTGACATTTCTTGTAGATTTTTCTACAAAACATTTTATCTATGTGAAGCTAGCGGGAATATGCCTGAGCGCATCACACGCTCGATGGTACAACATGGTCACCACCGAACTTTATTTATTCTAAAAGGAAAAGGAAAATGTCGATAAAACCTAAGGGAAAGAGAAACTGGTAATGGAGTAGGTTATGCGAGAGGAAGGTATTAGCACCCCACACATCTGTCGTACTCGA